TCACTCGGTCTCTGATTTTCAGGAATTTGACTATGTTGTTCCAAAGAATGTTTTTCTTTAGGTTTTCCTGCAGGAGGGCTCACTGCTTCTTGGATCATCAGTGGATGCTGTTCGTCAGTTTTGAAAATTCTTGGCTACTAGATCTTCAGCTATTTCTTCTGTCCCATTTACCCCTTCTCTCTTTCTGAAATACCAATTACATGTATATCAAACCTTTTGAGAATGCCTTCTATTCCCTCTTCTGTTCTTTCCATACTTGCTACTGAGTTTCAGTTTGGATGCTTACTACTGGACTGTCTTTAAATCCATTGATCCCCTTCTCTGCAATGTTTAATCTCTTAACCCTATCAGATGAGCTTTTATTTCAGATATATTTTTGAGTCCCTGAATATCCATGATTGTTTTTTAAAGTATAATTAACATATGGTGTTTCATTAATTGCAGGTGTACATTGATTTGACAAATCTACACAGTACTCAACGCTCACCGTGATAAGTACAGTCATCAACTGTCATCATACATTACTTAAATATCATTGACTATATTCCCTACGCATTTAATCTCCAAGACTATTTTTTTTTTTTTTACAACTGAAATTTGTACTTCTTAATCTCCCTTTTCCATTTCACACATCCCCTACCCACCACCCTTCCAGCAACCACCACTTTGTTCTCTATATTTAAGAGTCTGGTTGTTTGAGCACTTCTTTAAAAAGTCAAGATATGGAAGCAAACCATGTGTCCACTGATAGATAAATGAATAAAGATGATGTGGTATACTGGGACTATACCAAAATAAAAAGCTTTTGCAGTGAAGACCATCAACAAAATGACAGGAAACCTGCTAAGTGGGAGAAGATATTTGCAAATGACATATAGTATAGGGGTTAATATAGAAAATATATAAAGAACTCTTACAACTCCACACAAAAAGACAAATAATCTGATTTTAAAAATGGGCAGAGGACTCGAACAGACATTTTTCCAAAGATGACATACAGATGGCCAACACATACATGAAAAGATGCTCAACCTCACTAATCATCAGGAAAATGCAAATCAAAACCATAATGAGATATCACCTTACACCTATCAAAATGACTAGAAGCAAAAGACAAGAAATAAGTGCTGGCAAGGATGTGGAGAAAAAAGAACCCTTTTGCACTGCTGGTGGGAATGCAACTGATGCAGCCACTGTGGAAAACAGTATGGAGGTCCCTCATAAAATTAACAGAAATACCACATAATCTATTAATTCCACTATTGGGTATTTACCTACAGAAAACAAATGGCTAATTCAAAAAGATATATGCACTTCTATGTTTATTCCAGCATTATTTACAATAGCCAAGATATGGAAGCAGCACAAATGTCACTGAAGATGATGTGGTATATATACAATGGAATATCACTCAGTCATAAAAAAGGAGACTTTGCCATTTGCAAGGTCTGTATGCACCTGGAGGGTATTATGCTAAGTGAAATAGTCAACAAAGACAAATACTGTAGGATTTCACTTCCAGGTAGAATCTTAAAAAACAAAACAAACAAAAACCAGAAACTGACCCCTAAATATAGAGAACTGATGATTGCCAGAGGGGAAGTAGGGGGAAGAATGGGCAAAACAGTTGAAGGGGAGTGGGAGAGAATTCCAATTATGGAATAAGTCATGTGGACAAAAGGTGCAGCATGAGAAAAGTCAATGATAATGAAAGAGTGTTATATGGTGACAGATGGTAGCTGCACTAGTGGTGAGGACAGCATAATGTATAGACTTGTCGAATCACTATGTTGTACACCTGAAACTAATGTAACATTGTGTGTCAAGTGTATTTCAAAAGAAAAATGTTTAAAAAAAATGATTTTGGGGGGGGGCACCAGGGTGGCTAAGTTCTTCAAGTAACTGAAGCTTGGTTTTGGCTCACAGGGTCGTAGGATGGAGCCATGCTTTGGGGCAGTGCAGAGTCAGCTTAAGATTCTTGCCCCTTCCCTCCCTCTTTGTTCTCCCAGCCCCCACCCTCCCCTGCACTCTCTCTGAATAAATAAACAAATAAAATCTTAAAAAAAAAGATGGTATGGTACATATGTATATATACACATACATATATACATACATACCCAATGGAACACCTATATACATATATGTACATACACAATAGAATACATATATACATACACAATGGAATATTATTCAGCCATAAAAAAGAATGAGATCTTGCCATCTGCAAAACATGGATGGACCTAAGGGGTATTATGGTAAGTAAAGTAAGTCAGACAAAGACAAATGCCATATGATTTCACTTATGTGTAGAATCTAAAAGAACAAATGACTACTTGATTGACTTTGATTCTAATTTTGATTCTATTTCCTAGTAAAATTTTATATCTTCATTTTCCCTTTCCTTCTCTTAAAATATAATACATTATTTAAAAATATTTGTTTATAAACTCTAATAAAAGGACCATCTAACGAGCTGCTGTTATTTTTCCTCATGATTATTAGTTACATATTCCTGCCTCTCCATGTTACTAGCAACATATGCCTCTCTGTTTCCTCAGTAACTTAACCATTTTTCTCTACTTATTGTACTGGGAATGTTAGCCTGCTGTGACTCAGTATTTCTTTCTTGGAAGTAAAAGTCTTCCTTTCCTCCTGGGATTTCTTTTCTTTCATTGTGGGAATACTAAGCTATCATTGTTTCTATTTATTGAGAAACTGCCTGACCAATGGTAGATGTTATTGGTTGATTCTGTTCTTAATTTCATTTTTTAAAAACATTTATTTATTTGAGAGAGAGAAAGAATGCATGAGTGGAAGGGGCAGAGGAAGGAGGAGAAAGAATCTCAAGAAGACTTTGAGCTGAGCCATACATGGGGCTTAATCTCACAACACTGAGATCATGACCTGAGTCAAAACCAAGTTGGACACTTAATTGACTGTGACACCCAGGTGCCCCCTTAATTTCATTTTTATCATCAGAAGATTACATAAGCACCTGAGCTGCTCAAAAGTCATCCAGCCATTTCACCTGTTGAGAATGAACAAGATAATCCTCTATAAGGCCAGTATCAATAGCACAAAAGCCAGAATAAAAATAATTTTTACCCACAGAAATTCTTAGGAATACACATGCACACAAAACCTGTGCTATAGTAGAAAGAGCCAGAATTTGAAGAAAGAAAACCTGGTCTAAACCTCATCTTTGCCAATTTACTAGGACAATGACCTTAGACAAATAATTATTCTACTTTAATTTTCAATTCATTAAGTTGCTGTGACGACAAAACAATATATTTTAAAAACCTCTGTGAATTATAAACACATTATAAAATGCCTTATTATCTAGTTTCTATATCTACAAAGATAATAAATTGAATAAACATGGGGATGTGGATGTAATAGATACTGACAATAAAAACTGACAACCAACATTATATCAAAAGAAGAGTCAGAAACTATTTTTTTTTAAAGATTTTATTCATTTATTTGACAGAGAGAGAGAGATCACAAGTAGGCAGAGAGGCAGGCAGAGAGAGGGGGGAACAGGCTCCCTGCTAAGTGGATAGCCCAATGTGGGGCTCGATCTCAGGACCTTGTGATCATGACCTGAGCTGAAGGGAGAGACTTAACCCACTGAGCCACCCACGTGCCCCTCAAGACCTATTTTAAAAGCACCACTTAGAGCTAAGGGTGAGCTAGTTAATACAGGTGTAACAAGCCCTTACATATTTCAATAGACCCTGAAGCTTTTACTCTACCTTGACATTGTATGATAATTGGTTATTTATGATAAGACGCTTGAATTTGAAAGTAATTTATATCCTATAATATTACTATTAAGATAAGGGACTATCTAATAAACTTAGGAAAAACTGTAATCAAAAATGTCTAAAATTGGGGCACCTGGGCGGCTCAGTTAGCTAAGTAGCTAACTCGTGGTTTCAGCTGAGGTCATGATCTCAGGGTCTGTGCTCAGTAAGGGCTCTGCTTGAAGATTCCCTCTCCCTCTCCTTCTGCCTCCCCTACCGCCCATGGCTTACACCCACGCTTTCTCTCAAATAAATAAATTTTTAAAAAATGACTAAAATTCCAGTTGGTTGATAAACATCTAGATTAGTTTTTACTTAGGAGCCAAGGGTTTTATATTATGTGATCTTAGGATGATTAAGTTTGTGAGTAAAATGAAGAATCTGCATCATTGACTCACTTTTAGATATGAAAAACTTTGTAAAAAGTATGATTTTTCACAAGTGAGAAGAAAAAGATGAATTGACTATGGTTAAAAACAATTATGGGAGAGGGTGAAATCAACATACTGGGAGTGCGAAAAGCAAATGGAAAAACAAGAGGACTACATGAAGGAAACGCCAGAGAGGACATGTGGCACATGTTTCTGAAAACAAGAATCACTTGAAGGAATGCTGAAGAACGGGAGAACAGGGTTGTGAAGCAGTTAATACACCAAGCTTTAGTGATGTTTATAAAAGCTAATACAGGATATAGTATAAGTGAAATAAAACTGGACTAAGAATAGCAGTAAAAGTGTATTTACGGATGAGTTAAGGAGACTACTAGAGAGCTGATTACAGAAACAGACTTAATAAACCAAGGTTATCCAAGAGAAAACAAGATTTCAGAAAGTAATAGATGTAGGAAATCAAGAACCAAAATGAAAAACAAGTACACAGTCTAATATAAAAGAAGAAAATCAGTATTTTGCAGTTCCTGAAATGGAGATAGTACCAGGATCTTTTTCGTAAGTCCTGTTATGACTGTTCAGTTACAATTTCCCTAGAATTTAAATGTGTTAGGCTAAAACTAAGAGTTATTTTATCTTGTATTTAAAGTCAACACAAGAAAGGCAAAAGTGGTCTAATTTTCATGTGCATGAGTGTTATTATTTGCTAACTAAGCTGAAGGCATATCAAGTTCTGAAATAGTAATATTTGTAAAGACAATTTTAAAAATAATTTAGTAAGTTTATGAATAAACCACTATACCTTAGCAAGTGATTTTACAATAGGATTCTCCATAATCCCCTTGAGGAAAATTAGGTCTATTTCTTCTGCTCCTGTAGATGAGGGCAGCTCCGTAAGGTTATCCAACACTTGCTGCATTGCTGCTGAGATAAAAGCAATAAAAATAGTAATAATGATAAAAAACCCCAAACCCTTAAATTCCAAGCCATTATGAAATACAATATAAAATTATAAAATATTTGATACATTTAAAATAATTCAAATAAAAAGACATTAACAAAACTCTTTTGAAAAGTCATGTTTTAATATAAATCTTTTTTTTTTTTTAAAGACTTTATTTATTTGACAGAGATCACAGGTAGGCAGAGAGAGAGAGAAAGGAGGAAGCAGGCTTTCCACTGAGCAGAGAGCCCGATGCAGGGCTCGATCCCAGGACCCTGAGATCATGATCTGAGCTGAAGGCAGAGGCTTTAACCCACTGAGCCACCCAGGTGCCCCAAAAAGTCATGTTTTAAAAAACAATTGTTAAATGGTAAGTTTCAAACTGAATTCCCGTGAATTAGGAGGACACATTTTTATACACAATTTGGGCTTTATTAGACTACCTTATACATACTTACCACTTTACACTTGCTTTATATTTTTTAAATTTAAAGCACTACTCAAAAAGAAATACAAAATTTTAATAGACCTATAAAAAAGTAAAGAGAATGAATTAGTAATCAACAAACTTCCCACAAGCCCAGAACCAGATGGTTTCACTGGTAAATTCTATCAACTTAAAAGAGGAATTAAAACCAGTACTTCACAAACTCTTCAAAAAAAAAAAAAAAAAAAAATAGAGGAGGGAATACTTTCCAATTATTCTATGAGATCCTGATACTAAACCCACAAGAAGGTATCACAAGAAAATTATAGCCAATATCCTTTATAAATATGGATGCAAAAATCTTTAATAAAATACTGAAAAACTGAATCCAGCCACATATGAAAAGGGTTGTACACAATGACCAAGTACAGCTTATCTCAGGAATACAAGAATGAAAATCAATCAGTGTACTATACTGTATTAATAGAACATAAAACCAAAACAACTACATGGTATCTCAATGGGAACAGAAAAGGCATTCAACAGAATTGAAACTCTTTTCATGATAAAAACATTCAACAAACTAAGAATGGAAGGGAAATTTCCTAAACTTGGTGAAAGGTATCTATGAAGAATCTATAACCAATATCATATTTAATGATAAAAGACTAGACACCTTTCCACAAGATCAGGAACAAGGCAAGGATGTCTACTCTTGCCACTTCTACTCAACATCATAGTGGAGATTCTAGCCAAGGGAGTTATGCAAGAAATAAAAGCATTGGAAAGGAATAAGTAAAACTATCTCATTTTGCAAATGATATGACCTTGTATATAGAAAATCCTAAAAATACAAAAAAAATTTATTAGAATAAATGAGTTCAGAAAGGTTACAGGATACAAGATGAAAATACAAAAATCGAATATATTTCTAAATACTAGCAATGAATAATCTGAAAGTGAAATTTATGAAAACATTCTTTTTACAACAGCATCAAAAACAAATAATTAGGAATAAATGCAACATAAGAAGGGTAAGATTTGTACACTGAAACTATAAAAATAATCAAAAGAATTAAAGAGAACTAAAATAAATAGAAAGCGGGGCGCCTGGGTGGCTCAGTGGGTTAAGCCTCTGCCTTTGGCTTAGGTCATGATCCCAGGGTCCTGGCATCAAGCGCCCCCATCAGGCTCTCTGTTCAGTGGGGAGCCTGCTTCCCCCTCTCTCTCTGCCTGCCTCCTCTGCCTTCTTGTGATCTCTCTCTCTGTCAAATAAAGGAATAAAATCTTAAAAAAAAAAAGAAAGAAAGAAAGAAAGGAAGGAAGTTAGAAAGATATCCTACCTTCATGGATTGGAAGACTTACTATTGTTAACATGGCAACACTCCCTAAAATTGATCTACAAATTTAATGTAATCCCTGTCAAAATCTCTACTGCCCTCTCCCCCTTTTTTGCAGAAATTGAGAAGCTGATGTTAAAATTCATATGGAAAATGCAGTGGACCCAGAATAGGCAAAAGATCTTCAAAGAGAACAAAGTTAGAAGACTCACACTTTATTTCAAACCTGACTAAAAAGCTTCAGTAATCAAGACTGTGGTACCAGCATACACAGAGACATAAATCTTAAGAGTCCAGGGCCATGTGGGTGGCTCAGTTGGTTAAGCATCTGACTCTTGTTTTCAGCTCAGGTCATGATCTCATCATCATAGGACTGAGCCCCACATCAGGCTCCACACTCAGCAGGGAGTCTGCTTGAAGAGTCTCTCCCTCTGCCCCTCCTGACTCAAATAAATCTTAAAAATAAAAAACAAAAAACAACTTACAGACCAGAAATAAATCTATATATTTAAGGTCAACTGACTTTCAACAAGGGTGGCAAGACAATTCAACAGAGCAAAGAATAGTCTTTTCAACAAATGGAACTGGGACAACAGAATATGAATATGTAAGAGAGTGAAGCTAGACTCCTACTGCATTCAATATCATAATCTTAATATTATTCAGATTAATTTTATTGGTGTTGTCTCTTCTTGATGTTTCTTTGGTATAGTCTATTAAAATTGAAGTTTTTAGTATGTTTTAATTTTTATTAAAATAAAACATAAGCATTGTTAAAAGTCAGACTATACTCACTGGCTTATAACAAAATATAGCAGTTCTCTGCTCCATAGTGTCCTCCTCCCTCCCAACTTACACTATTCTGTAGAAGTAACTACTTTGAATTTGTTATAGTTTCATTTAATAACATCTGTATTTCTGTATAATATGCTAATATTGCTTCTTTTTCTTTTACCCATTTTAGACAGTATCTATTTTCTACTAGAATACTTGAGGGTTAGGCTTTTACCTTCCTCTATCTCCATTAAGGCAATTTCTCATAAAGTCACCATATGGGAATCCTACACATTTTTTCCCCCAAATGTTCCAACAAACTTTTCACATTTCTGTAATTTTTCCAAATGCTCAAGAATTTTTCCAACACTCTATCAGACCTATTATTCCCTGACTTCAACTCCTGAACTCCAGTCCAAAGTATTCTTGTCTTGTACTTTAATCTGGACAGTTCATCTCTAGACCTCCTATTCACTCTGTGTAAAATGAGTGACAATTCTGAGAGATGTGAATGGGAGAAAAATGTGCTCTTAAAACAAGGAGAAGGAAAACCTATACTGGGCTAAAATGAAGAAAGGAAACCTAGGAAATAAAGAATAAAAACAAAGCCTTTTCATACTTTTGTTTGGGGCCCAATGTGTACCTTTCAGTAGGTAGAGAACAACAGAATCAATAATCTTCAGAAGTATTTTTATCCTGTAAATAGTTAGCTCTACTTCTCATGATGACTTTTTTCTTTCCTTTGATGTTCTATATCTGTTTTTTTTTTTAATTTTTAACTTTCATTATGAAAAATTCCAAACATTTCTAAAAGGGAGGCAAAATAATATAATGAACCCAATAACTATCAGCTCTAACAGGTAGCAACTCATGGCAAATCTTGTTTCATACCCCTATATATTCTCTACCCTAAATAACTTTGAAGCAAATCCCAGATACCACATTTCAGTATTTATGTCTAAAATATCAGGGCTCTTTTTAAACAATGTAACCAAAATACTGTTAGCACACCTAACAAAATAACAATAATGTAATATCACCAAATTGTTATACTGAAAATCTTTTTAAAATGCACCTTCCAAATGTATATTGGTTCTTAAGATACTGAAATTTTTATATTGGTGCTTAATTAAGTGGGAAGAAAAGTGGTGGAGGTTGTAAAATATACCCTTGGTTATTTTAAAGATCTTCATAAGTTCTTGATTCTTGATTATATGAAATTTAATTAAACACTGGTAAGTCTGCCAAATATCCCATGTTCTGGAAATGGGATCTTGAATATTATAAAGTTGCCACGCATTCCCAAACTAATTGGTACGTTTAATGGAGTTCTAATCAAAATACAATAGAACCTTCCACATGTTTTCAGGCCAGGTCTGGCTTGTTCTTCCCCCATTAAGGAAATGTCCAGGGAGCTCCAAGAAACCTGGGCTGGGAGGCAGGGGAGCAGGTGAAACCAGTGCAGTTCTGCACAGGTCGGGGAGGTTACAGCATCTGGAAGTAAGTGGCTGTCCTAGGGCAACGCTGTGCTGGTAAATGTCCACAGGAATCTGGTATATCCACTGCTATTTAGTTTAAGGAAAAAGCAAATTATGTGTTTTACAAGGAAATCTTCAATGGATCCTCATGTCCCTTTGGGACCCATGCCCCCAGGACTTCAAAGAGCAGACTGATATTTAAGTATTCAAGTTTTAGGATATCCGGTAAAACCCCCAGCCCATTGAGGATGGTGATGCAAAGCTGCTAGAGCTGAAAATCAGAATAGTTACAACTGTCTTTCTAGGATGAAAGTTCTGGATGTCATCCATGCCCCTGAGATCCCACTTCCAGCTGAGGATGGCATCCTTGTTTCTTTATGGGCAAGAACTTCCACCCCTAGTTGCTAGATCTTTGAGTCACTAGTACTCCTTTCAAGGGGTACTCAAAGTTTTCACTATGCCCGATCCCTTCTGGATGGCTGAGATGGCCCAGTATGAGACAGAAGTCTATAGCCAGACAGAGTACTGTTCCTATCAGGAGATCCTGACCAAGCTGGCCACCATGGCCAACGCACAGAGTGGGAGCACTCTGCAACAACAGTCAGCAGCTGGAGACCTAAGTCAATCTCCTAAAGTCTCCCTAACAACCATCAGGTAATATACCCCCCACTCCAGTTAGAAGAGTAAGCATGCCAAGCACCTCTTTGAAGAGTTTTAAGGACACTGTAACGAACTGTGGAGTACGCTATGATGGCGCTGAAGGACTCTCGCTGAAGACCGAGCCAGACAGACTGCAGTGTGCTTGCCAGGCAGATCCAGAATGGCCCCGCCAAAGCCTTATTGAGTCCAAAGCTTCTAGAGCTCATGCCTAAAGGATCATTCCCCAGCCCTTTCTTTATGGGCAGTTTTAGAACATTCACTAAGACTTTGTTTTCCACCGATAGCAACTTTTTTCTG